GGACTGAGGTGTCTGTTGGGACACCCACCTGTGAGCAGATCCTCTAGGTTGGTGCACACCTTCATCTTGTGTAGATTATTCAGTGAGCCTGCCATGTACATCTTCCTCTCCTGATCCAGGAAGTCCAGGTCCAGAGCAATCTCTTGCATTCTCTTCCTCAGGTACTGCCTGAAGAGTGGAGGGCGGAGAGTGAAGTTTTATTTGTTCCACAAACTAAACAATGTTCTACTGCGGTGAATCATCTTTTGCATGCTAGATGATGACTACATAAGATGTAACAAGCAATATAAGTGTGGGGAACACTTCTGCCTGCCGTGCTTTAGACTGGCATTCAATCCCCCACCTGGCCAAGCACCCTACACTACACCAATGAGTCCTTGGACTAGACTCCTAACACTACATTCGCCTACTTGTGTAAAAATAATCAAATTGTAAGTAGCTTTGGATAAGAGGGTCTGCTAAATGCCGTAAATGTCAGTGTAATATAAACTGTCCATCAAAAGGTTTATAATAATTGTTAATACACATAAGCATGTTTTCTTTGTCTGTTTGTAATGACATTCATTTTTCAGTAATTCACTAACTCGACTAAACTGTTGTAAATAAAAAGTCATTCAGAGTGGTTTGATATGAAATGCTCTAATTCTAGAGAAACCCCCACAGAGCAGGTATTATTTGTTATGCTGGTATGAGTGGATCAGACACAGCAGTGCTGCTGGAGTTTTAAAACACTGTGTCCATTGACTGTCCACTCTATTTGACACACCTACCTTGTTGGTCCACCTTGTAGATCTAAAGCTAGAGACAGTAACTTGTCTGTTGTTGCACAGTTTGTGTTGGTCATCCTCTAGTCCTTCATCAGTGGTCACAGGACGCTGCCCACAGGATGCTGTTGGCTGGATATTTTTGGTTGGTGGACTATTCTCAGTCCAGCAGTGACACTGAGGCAGTCCAGCAGCACTGCTGTGTCTGATCCACTCATACCAGCACAACACACACTAACACACCACCACCACGTCAGCCAAATAATACCTGCTCTGTGGTGGTCCTGTGGGGGTGCTGACCATTGAAGAAAAAGGTGAAAGGGGGCTAACAAAGTATGCAGAGAAACAGATGCTCCTATATGGTAAGTGGAGCTGATAAAATGGACAATGAGTGTGGTTTTAATGTTTTGGCTGATCAGTGTATGCCACTATCTTACCATCAGCATTACATATAAAAAGACATGTTTAGGTTCCCTGGTGCTTTTGGATAGTAAATAAAATGGCTATGTTTGTTTAGTTTTTTTTTAAATCAAACCACTCTGTTGACTTTATTGACATCTCAACAGATGAATTATGCATGAATAAAAACAAAACAATCAGTAAAATTACAGCTTCTAATTAACCAGCTTCATTTAAAAAGAAACTTCTAACACACACACACACACACACACACACACACACACACATATATATATATATATATATATCTATATTTGATAATACAGCGTGATTCAAAAAGATTCATTCGATTTCAAAGTGATTTATTTCACTTGTAAATCATTACAGAACAATGCAGTAAATTGTAATTTTACTAGTGCTCAATATGACCTCCTCCAGCAACATCAACGCCATAGTCAAATTCATCCCACACTCGAATGAGCATGTGGTCACTGTACTCACAGCTCTTTCAATGCAATTCCGGAGATCATCTGACAGTCAGAAACTCTATGACCCCCTCTTTCAATTGGAATGTAATTGGTTCCTAGGCACCTCATGGTTGTAAAAATATGGTGCTTTGAAATCGGATGAATCTTTTTGAATCATTCTGTATTTCTGACAGTACCTTAGTAATAATGCTGCACCCCACACATTTCATCCCCTTGCTGTGATGTCGTCAGTAGGGATGGGTGGATTAGTACTTGTGCATTGATCCTAACACTCCTAACACTCACTATTCTTTTTCAGAATACTTACATACATATATCATCATCAAGTGTTTATGATGTGCTTTAAATAAACTGAATATGTATTAGATGCTGAAAAAGGTGAAAAATTGTAGGATAAATATGACAAGAAGATGCACACATGCATTATGCATGAAATTAGTGATACACCAAATATTAGGTCATGCTAATCATAACACTTGTATCTTCTTGAAACACATGTAAGCACAATTTAACAGTAACAGGTTGGTGAACAGGCACATACAAGCTTAGACTGGAAGGTTTAGTAGTAAGAACAACACAAAAACTTTGAAATATACAGTGGTATGTAAAGGTTTGATTAAGTAACATTTTGCATGGGCACAATTTCTATTTCTATTTGCTGAGTTTAACAAAATAGAAAATGTGCCATAACTTTGCACAGGCAACATTTTTTATCCCCCCAGCATGTCCGCATTCACCATGTTCACTGCAGGAAATACTAAAATTTCAACTTTGCACAAGAAGACTTGTAAAAGTAGTAGTATTGGATCTGAAATTGAGATCCTCATTAGCCTCATTATACTCTATATAACATACTATATTGTAAGCGCACACCCAGAAAATCAGCGGTATCACCCATCCTTATCAATAAGTGCTTTTAACAATAGTTTGTGAAAAGAAAACTGTCACATCATTATCCAGGCAAAACCGTCTTTATATTGTTGCTGTCAGAAAAAAAAATCTCCAGATTTTTTTTTTACGCTATTTAAATATCGCAGTTGTTTTTTAGTTTGTGTGAAAATTTCATGATGAATGGACCAATAAAAATGCCCAAAAAAACTTTTTCTAACTTTTAATTCACTTTATTTTTATTTCTTGTACCATTGACTTAAGGTTTTGCACTCTCCTGTAAAGTTACTATTTTGGAGTTACTTGTTTTTCTTTGAAAAGCAATGATACGTTTTTAATGAAAATTCAAACTTCAAAATAGGCAGCGTCCCCAAATTTTGATAGGCAGTGCACATAAAAGTACACTGATTGTACTTAACCCCTGCTGTACACACATATATATGAAGCGGATGTACGTGTATGGTTGGGAACCTCTCAGCTGGCACGGCCTGTCAAGGTGATATGGGGGGAATGTATTGGCAGTAACCGTCTCCCTGCATTTGTCTGATAGACAGCTGTGCCCTCCTGACACTCTCTCACTCTCTCTCTCTCTCTCGGAAATAACAGCTATGAGCCTGAATGCACTGAGCCTATTTGCCCCACAGATAAAAGGCCCTGTGTTAGAATTCACAGCTGTAAAGTGCACAGCGCCGTGTCCATTTATAAGGCGGCCTTTCACCTTCAATAAAGTAGGTTTCTTTACAGCTTTAATGTAGTTCACATCATGAAAAAATGGCTGCAATACATAATGGACCTTACAAGGCATGTGGACCAAAATACAAATAAGGTTTAAACTTCACAACTTTACAGCTACTGAGTCAACTTTTAATAGGTTTGTGTTAAATAATATCAGCCAGTACTGTACTGAAACATTAAAGATATTAATACTGGGTCTTTACAAGTCGACTCATTGAGGGTTCGGCAAAAAAAATTCAAGCAAAAACTTCAATTAAACTCATGTTGTCATGCCAAAATTCAAAGCTGTGCTCCAAATAGTTTCAGTTACTACATGTACAAGTTTGCTCTGTTCCATAAATAGAGTTTAGCAGCTTATTAAATGACTGAAGTGAGCTGAAAGAATGACAAGGTATGAATATAGCGCCAAGAATAATATATAAATTTTTATTAAAAAAAAACAAAAAACAACTCCCTCTGCAGGTGAATTTACTGGATGTAGCAGTTTTAATGGACATGTGACTTTACTATGAACATGGACTGCTGTCTGGGAAGACAACGGAACCAGGCAAAAAGTAATTCTGACCAGTCAGACCTGTTGTATCAGATGTTAACTGATTTACATTTACATAAAATCACTATTTATTTTACGTATTAATTTTACTTGTTTTATTGTAAAATTAGTGTTCTAAGCAAAAACTTTACATTTTTCAGGTGCCTTATATACACAGGGCTCCATTTGAGGGGGCTACAAGGGGATGCAATCCTCCCAAACAAAACAAAAAAACACTTCCCTTGCAAAACCATCACCGCATGTCCATCTATTTGATTATCATTATACAAAAGTCATGTGTATAGGCAATAAACATAAAATATGTGCATTGTTACAAATAAACAAATTTGCATCTTGATCTTTTGTGCTATAAAAAGGTTTGACTGAGTCCATTAAGTCAGCAACCAGACATCCTTTACCTGATCAAATTAACATACATTAAATAGTTGTATGTTAAGCTTAATTAACATTTAAAAAGGTACTCCAGTCACGTAACAATTCTCACCATGTAACACTACATTTGGCATCACACACACAGCTTAAAAAGCCTTCAAGCACATCCCCTTTGCCAGCACTTACCAAAGTGTACAAGAACATCCACTTGAAGAATTAGTATAAAGAAGAAACCTTCGTTCAGCAAGCTAGCTTTCCCAGGCAGCTTAAATGAGGCTGTAAACGACTCAGCATTGTCACAGACTTGTCCTCAATGAGCTGATGCATTTAATGCTCCCAAATTTGGCTTAGGATACAGCAACTGGTATCAGCTTTCCAAATACTGCCAGCCAAAGCCAAAGGAGCCAACATGTCCATCTACTTGCTTTAATGAGATAAAACCACCACACCTGCTTTTGTTGGGGAGGATCCTGGCTTGTATTCATTGTAATTATATCTCACTGAACTCTGTTACATTAGAGCTATTGATTAACCGCGTACATCACTGTTTGTTAGCAGCCAACAAATGCCCTGCTGCCTGGTGTTACCATCTATTAAAAGCACCCATTATATCATACTCGTGGGAACCACGATGCGTAGTGTGCTCACAGTCCTTAGCACGGGGGTCTTCAACTCTAGTCAAATAGGACTTTAGGACAACTGTAGGTTGAGAATTACAATGTTTTAAAAAAATCTACTTAGATAAGAGATGAACAAGTTAACAAGCCATATGCACAAACCAAATAAAACGCAAAGTCATTCTGAGAGTTTAATCTTTATTTTCTCATCACTACACTATACCACTGGGGGAGAGCAGAGACATACATTTAGATTCAGTATGAGTGCAGCTTCAATGTTACAGAACACACGTCCAGAAAAGCAAAAAAAACAAAAACAAAAAAAAATGTTATAAAAAAAAAAATAATAAACACCCAGTCTACATAGTGCACCATATAAATACATATATATATTAAAAATGCATGTCTTAGGAATAATATTCTATACATGGACAGAACAAAACACATTGGACCCAAACAAGGACCACAGGGTTACGGAATAATTCATGGAGTGGGGGGGGGGGTTGGGGGAAAGGATCTAAAATTCACCCACATCCACCCTCTTGTCACGAAACTTATTTCTGGCCTTGGTTCGAGCCTTGAATGCAGCAGCATTGTACAGATGCTGAAAGAAAAGCCATCAAATTAGTACCCACTCAAACAACTGTTCTACAAGCAGACATTTAACAGCAAGAAACTTATATTAGTGTTAAACATTCTGGACAGTGCTAGCTTACCCTCTCAAGGCGGGAGCTCTTCATTGCTTTTAGCGCAGCAGAATCAATAAGAACAGGTGGTCCCAGGCCAAACACATCCCTGATGAACTCATTTGCCTAACAAGTTATGAGTACAATTATTAGAGTTATTAGAACACTTCTGGTTCAACATAAACACCACCGATTTGTAAACCTATTTTCTATACCTGTAGATGGTAGTTCATTCCTGAGCCCACGAACTCTCGGAAAGCATCATAGGTCCTCTTCCTTACCCAGCTGTCAATGACCATTCGCTCTGTGCCAAAGCGGATTGTCTCTGTCTGAAAGTCTCCTTCCTAATCAGGAACAGAGGAGTTGTATTAGAACTACATTACCCACAAGGCACCCGTTTGTTGTTTCCATTTCATTCACATCTCATCTTCCTCACCTCCACAGCTTTCAGCACGTCCCTGAAGACAGATCGCTGCTTCCTCTTGTCGGTCTTAGCACGGTGCTTGTTGCAGTCAGTGGCCAAAGCATTCAGCTTGCTGCACAGCAACTCCCAGTCCTCACAGTCAAAGTCCTATATGGAAGACAAAAAGTTTGATGTTTAAACCTGAAATGTCATCACTTTTAAAGCCTCAATGCCTGTGCAAAGCTGTTAATGGGTATTGTTTCAAATACAACAGGCAGAGTCATGTCAATGTTTTGTTGAACTTGCAAAAGTGGGGATTACTATACACTACCTTTCAAATAAAAAAAAAAATAAAATAAAAAAATAATAATAAATGAAGCCACCACACCACACCTGTGTGTATTATACTACCACTGTAATCAAGGGGCCATCAAGGTATGGAAACTGAACCTTGATGTAAATTAGGGCTACAGTTATCAAAAATATTGTTTACTTATTGCAAACTAGCAATAAAAACAACCCCATAATAGGAGTTAAGACACCCATTACAGTGTTACACAGGGCCAATGTAGCTTCAGCCATTTTGTTGCATCATAAAAGGAAACAGTTTGTACCAGACAGAACTTTGGACGGAGGCAGTGCTTAAGAAAGATGAGCTCAAGAAAGCAACACCCAAAAAGGCAGAGGATTCAGTGCTAAAGCAGAAGTACAGTTTTACAGCAACATGTCAATGATGCAAACAAACAAAACACCCCACACGAGCACCAACACACTTTCTGCTCCAGCTAATTGTGAAGTGCTATAACTGACTAGCTCAGCCAAGTAAAGGAGACATTAGGCTGCAGTTTGGGGGAAGGGGGAAAGAAAAAAAAAAATAAATTTTTAAAATAATCTCTCGTGGAAGAGACAAATACTTGAGTGATGTTAAGTACTGTAGTAAAATGAACGCCATAATACAAAAAAAAGAAATTAAGGTGCCATCTAGTCATTCTGAGGAGGACAGGTGGAAAAAAAAAAATTATAAAAATTAACTAAAATAAAACCACACTGGACAATGCTACAAATGTTTCAGAATGCTCTTGGGACAGTGAATGAAAATGTTGCCACTTAATCTGTACATAATTATACAGTTATTAAAAAAACCCCACAAACTTGCCAGCCGTTGTGTTTAACAGTGAGCCAATAATGTATAAGCTGTCACCTAGGCAGATATGATCCACTCAGAAATGGTGTCAAAAACAAGGAATATACAAATGATTACAATCAAGAACAGAGAAAACAGGAAAGCTGAAATATAAGAGTAAAATGATAATCTAAATGTTTATTAACTGTTTGGAGACTAATAAGTTTTTTTTAACTTTACAAAAAACTAAATTTCAATAGACTAGCAGGCAATACATTAATTAATTAGTAACAAAGTAACAGTTAGTTCAAGTCGTGATTACCGAGAACTTTAACTGAATTGACAAGTTTTTCTCAAATTTATACTTACTGTTCGCACAGTATTGGCAGTGGACAGCATTAGCCCTGACAACTGAGAGTATAAGATGAATTGGGAACTCACTGGGTTGACGTCTCTGGCCAGCTCAAACAGTAGAGCGATGGTTTCTCCGGCTGCAATTCGCATGTTGACGTCCTCACTTTCCAGAAGCCGTGGCAGCTTGGCCAGATGTCTGAAACAGAACATGACCAAGTCAGAACCCTGAAGCTGCTTGCAGGACTGAGAGCGAGCACATCATACAAAAAGGTTCCTGAAAGCTGCGACTAAATTTCAGGAAGCAGATTTACCTTTGAAGCATAAAGAACTGCAAAAGGCTTAGAGCATTTCAGCTAAGAGCTCCATACTTGTGGATGATTGTTGTGATGTGGCTGGCACTGCAGATGGTGAGCAACAGAGCCCAGGACAGCAGTGCGTTGGTGTGGAGCTGAGTAGTCTGAGGGCTCAGAGAGGGCCTGCTGCCATCCTCTCGCACGTATGAGCGGGTGAAGAGACTCTCAAAGCACTCCATAGTGGCATACACGTCCTGGAGGAGAGGCACAGACATCAGATCTGTAGCTACAGGCTTAAGCAGCTGTTTGCAGCTGTAGCAAATCAATAACTGAATCCTTAACAAGACTGTGGGTGTAATTCAATATTAATTCTCACTCTAAGCTCATTTAACCAAGTGCTGAAATTCTTTGCAAATTCTAAACTTTCAGTGGATTTGAAGTGCAGACTCAAATGATACAGAATTTAAATCAAATATGAATAATTATGTATCAGTGTAATTAAAGAAGCAATTACATAATTCCACTTGCATAGTATTATAAACTAATCACTTTAGACTTATTTGACTTCGAAAGAGTTTAAAGGCAAACGCCACCGGTTCAAAAATTTCAGCATAAACAGTCAAGAGGCCCTTCAGAATGGCTAAAAGTGAAATGCGCCACTCTAGAGAAACCTGTCGTGCCAGAATTTGTCATTGTGATAAGAATTAGGCGTCTGATTTTAGCTACCTTACACAAAGTTACTACAGAACTGAGTTATGAATATGCTGAAGCCCAAGACATTGTTTTACAGTGTTTTATAATAATGTTTTAGCTATTTTTTTTAAATACATTAACAGTGAAGAGGTACATGCAGGGTGCTAGAAGGCAAAACAGTACCCAAAGAAAACACTTTTCAGATTCACTATGTTATCATTATCAACATTACACATAACTCAGAACAGGTGCAGGTTTTGCTGGTCATTTTGGATAACAATAACAATAAGCTATATTTGTGTTTCAGATAACTTCTGGTTCCTATCACCACCACTGTAAAGAAATCTGGGTCAGTATGCTTCTCAAACTCATGATCTCACATTAAACCACTCTGAAAGAAAATCTCAAAGAAGTAATTTTGCAGAAAAGTTGGAAATTCTGGGAAACTCCCCTTTAACCACAAGACTGTGTTTAATGCCAATTGTGTTCATCAATATAAACAAGCTTTCAGTCTGGAGGATTCTGAGCTTGTATGAACAAGCTGTCACATTTCACAGACTTCACTTTAACTACTCCTTCAAATTGCCAGCCTCAATAAACGTTCAGAGGTTTTAATATCTAAACATCTGTTGAGTATATTTATTACCCAAAAAAACCCACACATCACACACACCACAGAACACTGCAAAGGCAAATTCCAGTACTCACCAAGATATCATCTTCTGCAACCAGAGTGCATAGGCCTAGACTTGTTGCACACTGAGAAAACCAAAAGAACAAGATGAACAGATTACTTCAATGAAACATTCAATATGAAGAACACTACAAATCAAAAGACTTATTCTTGTTCAGCAGCCAAAAAAAAGGAGATGTCTGCTATTCACCGCCTGTCTGGCCTGGATGTTTGCTGCTCCATCATTGAGGATGGTCTTAAATATGGGTTTGAGTGTCTTGAAAACTTCTTCACTCTCAATTCCTGAGCCTAACTGGATGCACAGGAGGCACGCTAGGGAGGCTGCTGCACGCTGCTCCTCTCCTTTACCTATTGGACAGGATTAAGGTTACTTCACCCATCAGCCGCAGCTTGTCTATTACAAGAATATCTTCAAATGTAAATGCATTAGACACATTCAGCATTTTTAAACTCTCAGTAACTGGGGGATAAACCTTTTTTCAAGCAGCGCTCAATGCTGTCTGTGACTGTCATTCTTCTCTCCAGAAGGAATTCATATAGGATTTTGGTTGCCATTGCAGTCTTCAATCCATCAAGGGCACCTTGCCTAGTTTTAGCACTGGAGAGGGAGCAACAAAAAGGAGGAGAAAAAAACCCACAAACAAATCAGGAATTCAGAATTCACAAAACCAAACATTGGAGAATCACTCACTTTGAACTTCCTGGCCTAACATGTATTGATTCAATGTCATAACGCTGACTGAATTGTTAAAGTTTGTCCACAAACCTTTTATCAACCGTGCAATCAATGTAAACCTTCAGCTTGTACTGGAAATCCTCCTGAGCAGTATCCTCAGCCTCTCCTCCTGCCAGTTAAAAACACAGCGTTACAATGTCGATTTCATCTCACCAGTCACCCTTTATCAACAATCATTAATATAGTGTTTGCCTTGCCGACTGGGTGCACATACAAACACACCTTCCTCTGCCACGCTGGTGGAGTCACTCAAGCTGCTGCAGTGGCTGAGTGTCTCAATGGAAGCGTCCTCATCGCTGAATGGCTGGACAGCTCCATGCTGTCCCCCTGCAACACCAACAAACCACAAAAATCAACAAAATCAAGTTACAAGCTGGCAATGAGTTTAACTTCGGAATAACCAGGCCTACATGAGCACATAAGAACATTTTATTTTACATGAAGACCGCAAAACACCCTTCTGCAGAATTACCACATTCTGACCACATATCAGTTACAGTATGAGCTAGTGCTAAAGCTGATATCCTGTGCATTTCTGTTATCAGAACAAATGCAATGCTTTGGAAAAAGTGTGAGGCACTATCTTCCTCATGTCAAGGGTAGCATGATAGCCACCTTTAGACTATGCAAACAAAAATGCACCGTTTCAATGGAAAAACCTGTCCCACGCAGGTACACCTGCTACCTCACCGCAGGAATAATCCCCCAAACAACACCTGTTCTGGTTAATGGAATGGTTTACCCAAATGTAGTCAACTGACCGAGCCATGTCTTATGTCCAAAGTTTGCTTCTTTAGGTTTACAACAGAATAATAAATCTCTACAGCCTTCAAGTAGCCTTGCAGCTGCACTCCTGTTCTCCAAGGCCAAGTCGACTAAGTGTGGGGTACGGGGGTAAACTATGTGGATTTGATTGTATGGTAAACCAATATTTTTACAATACACAATGTCACAATTTATTTTTTCCCCAGACGTCTGATCAGTTAGAACAGAGGAAAAAAGAACCAGTAGTGCTAACTTAAAACACCCAACAACATTTTTTACTCAATATTTAAATATCACGTTGCACTGAATCCAGTTCAACAGGGCTAATGTTGCTCATAAAGAAACATGTAGTTTACTGATGATATCCATAACATACAGAAAAGCATACTGTACAATATCACGATAATTATATATTGTCATATTGCCTGGCCCTACTTCATTGTCCAGGAAAACGTGGGATGCTGGTAGTAAACGTGATGCCTTCACGTGGCCGCCCTTTTCAACGTGCCTCTCTTTTCGTTCAGCTGCAGCCACAGGCCGGGGTGGATCGACACACACGACCAGCTGTCGGTTTCATGTTTGAGAACGCCGATTTAGGGCTAGACACTCTAGACACTCCACAGGCCTGCGTTACGTAACCACAGTTTGGGGTCAGTGATCAGACGCTTGCAGTAGCTCACAAGAACACCTTATCTCGGACCAACCGAGCTGTGGCCCACCACAACCTTTCACTCTGCCCTGCAGAACAAAAAGTCAATACGCGAGCTTGTAGGCTGCATAAATCATCTTTTTGGTTTCTGGCGATGAGTACGTAGCGTAGCTTAGTTAGCTAGGCGGGCTAAAGCTTGACACTCCGTTAGCAATTTAGCTAAGGTTACACATGGTAAGCAACTAGACTGAAGTTGGCTTCATAATAGCCAACTTCTTGTTCGAATTTCCCGTTCCACCTTAAATGGTACAGAATGTAACGATGTAGGTTAAATGAGGCGCCAGAACGTAACTTAACTGCTGCACCATTTAAGGCGGAAAGGGAAAAACAGAAGAAGAAGCTGGGGAAGGGCTGACTAGAGAACAACACTGACAGACAGGCGTCGGTGCTTATATGAATTATTGAAATTGCTTTATCGGGTCAGTAACTATAGCTACCATCGACCAGAACAGCCTTGTATTTAACTTGAGTTTATTAAACGTTGTCTGACAGCGTATGATAGCAGGAAACTCTATAACGCAGTAACTTCACAACTACCAGAGCTTAACTACAAGAGAACAAGAATACAAACAAATACAACATACCTCTCCATAAAACCATGTCTGACATAACTAAGTACCTAGTTACAGTTCTTGTATTTAAATGGGAGTAACTTGCTAACAAAAGAACCTGGAAACATTAACCTAGTTAGCTAGCATGCTAGCCAGCAGACATTTTCTAAGCCCTTTGCTAGCCTCCTCGTTTGGACACGTAGATCCCAATTCAGCATTAAAAAAAAAAAATAACATCGATACGGATGTAAAGTGACATATGTTCAAAATCGATATCCAGAGACACCGACTGTCAACAGGCCAATGTGAAAAAGATTCCTTTGTTTAACTCTCAAAAGCCACGAATCCTTTGGCTGTCAACCAAAACAGGCCGCGTTGGCCATTGGCGTTGTAGTTCTTTCCAAACTCTTCCATGAGAAGGTTTTAACGGCACTCGGACAGCACAAGGACTACAAATCCCACTGCGAAGCGCTCTATTCCGGCAGAAGGCCAAAACAGCCGGTCATTTCCAGACATTCCAGCTCACTTACCCTTGCCGTTTCTCTTCTTAGACTTGGGCATCTTCTGCTTATGAATATAGTCAATATAAACCCAAAATCAGCCAATACACGACCAGTTTTTACTATAATGTCTCTTAAATTGAATATCGTCCAATGGCACAGTGAAAAAAAGAGAATTAAAAGCGAATCCGATGAGAGCCTGCGAACCAAAGCGATACATTTTCCCCCGTAAAAACTAGGGCTGCGCCGGAGAACCGCCGCCAAAAGCTTTTATACGGCGCGCAGCCCACGTGGTCTTTCAGATGGACCTGGATACTGTCTGGACCAATCACGTTGCGCGCTGTAGTGACGTATATGCTTGTGCCTGATCCAACGTGACTGAAGGGGCCCTGAGTTCCCCAGAGACTGCTGTCACGTCCTCATGCAGACGTTACCTGCACAACACACCAGATAACTCTGCTTTCTGGTAACAGGTCTGTTTAAAGTGTTCACAGTGCGTTGTTGATGCTTTGAATTTGTATGACTCCTAGAAGCAGCAGAGTAGAACAGACGTCTCTTCTCTTCTCCACTCTTCTCAAAATTATGTTTTAAAAAATTGCCATTCACGTGTCATCTTTTTAAGAACCAACTACACACTCGAGGGAGCACTGAAACTCTTGAAATAGAATGCAAAAAATACATCAAACCCCTTTTTCCAAACCATATACGTGTACGAGTGCATGTTTTTAATAGTTGATACCATAATGAATTATCTAAAAGGCATTAAGAAGTTGTTAGTGTAAATGAATGTAATGTACCTTAACAGTTAAATCATCAAAATTTAGCTGATTGAAATGACATGCATTAGCTAGCTATGCTGCATTAGTCACCTTGAATCAAGCAGTGAAGCAGTGAAGAGCGATTTTTGTTCCACATCAAAAAAGCATTTTTGTACAGCTGTAAGTAAAGTACGTTTTGTAGTTTTGATCCTTATTTGTCTTTTTCAACAATAATCTCTGTAGCACAGTGATAACAGGAATGCCAATCCAAGGAGCTCATGTTTCATCTTGTCTAAGTTGAGCAAAGTTGAACTTTATGCAAGTAAGGAATGAAGGGACATGGCGATTACCAATAATAATTAAGAACCTGAGCAGCGTACTATGTGCCTTATCTCTGCCACTGTGAAACGATGTGCTTCTTTTTTGGGTCCTAGATAACTGTTCTAGGTAGTACTAGGAGGAATGGCGGTAGTGCGATCACCGCAAATATACAGCAATCACACAGACCGAACACTGTTTTCTTACATACTGAATGCACAGGCAGTGATGCACTACACAGGGATCAAATATAAAATAAAATAAGTTTTAGCGGGAATGGATCTGATTAGTGTTTGGCATCAGTGAAACCATAACAACCAACGGTCCACTCACGTTCAGAAACAGCCACAGGCAATGAGTGACCAGCGATGTGGGCGACAGGAGGTGAAACGTTGCTGCCAGTGTGAACGTATGGTTAGGTATCAGCTGGTATCAGACGTTGGTAACAGTGCAGACAGAGCATGTGTAAATGAGCACAGTATCGGGCCTATACTCGATATGCATCCCTAGCAAAAGCACAAACAGATTTTCAATTTTCTGTGTTTCACTCATCATTGACATTCTAAATTATTAGGCACACCATTAAAGAAAATTGTCTGTGTGCATTTTGAAAACACTACCATTCAAAATATTACACTTGACCAGGAACAGCACTGGGCAGCATGAGGGAAATATCACAGTGTGTATGGCCATAACCTAATCCTGCCTCCCTTGTCTATATCATTCAATTTACACCATACATACAGGGCTGGGATTTAACAGGATTACAAGTGTGAGGAATATGTATTCAGAATACAGAAGTGAAGTATCTGTATTCAGTCCCTGTTACATTTTGAAAAGGCAGTATTTTTAGTTATATACTTACCCACTATATTGGCATATACTCTTTAAAGAAACATCATCTCTGCTATTTTAAAATCTCGGTCAGTGGAGAGGGGACAGAAAGAAAACGTGGCAGAATATCAAGGTCATTGAGGGATTGAGTGAGGCAGGAAACCTCAGCTTGCAGTTCCTTGGAGACCAGGGAATGTGCTAAAGTCCATTCTTCTAAGGTGCTTATTTAGCCAGTTCAGTTCATGATTGTTATTTTATTCAGCTGAACGTGATGAAATGCAGAGACGGAAAATATTTGTGTAACTGCACTTCATATACCATATTTTTTTGGAAGATTTGTACTTCACTCAAGTATTACACTGAATACTTACACTATTACTCAATTTTTTAATCAGTTTTTCCAAGAGAAAAAAAACAATTTTCAATAATTTCATTCAATCGGGGGTCTCTGCATTTGCATTTATTGTTTTTATTGAAATATCCAACCAAATTTGCAGTGCTAAGTGTTTTTTTTTTCTATTTTTTATATTTGTCATACTTAATTGTTTTTAGATCTTTAAACAAAACTAAATATATGACAAAGACAACCTGAGTAAATGACAAATTTCTTATTGAAGGAAAAGTTATACATCACCAACTTGCCCTGTGTGCAAAAGTAATAGTTCCTCAACCCATTAACCAAATGTACTTGAGAATTGGGATCATTTAAACTAGATGAACCAAGGCTTGATTTCTGCCGTCCCTGTTAAATCTGAACATCACTTATATAGAACCTTTCCAGCAATGTGACTCAACAAAAAGGCAACTATGCTGCAATCAAATAAATTCCGTAAGAGATGAGACAGTTATGGATATATATGATAGAAATATATATCAAAGAAAGTTATTAAAACATATCTGTGTGGAAGTGGGTTACATAGTCAGTTCTAAGGTTTTGGGACTCTAGCAAACCACAGTGTGAGCCAGTATCTCCAAATGGAAAAAACTTGAAACAGTGGTGAATCTTCCCAGACGTCGTTGCCCTACAAAAACTCCTCCAAGAGCACAGCAAGTACTCATCCAGGAAGTCACAAAAAGAACCCAGATGAATGTCCAAGAAACCGCAGGCCTCACTCACCTTAGATAAAGTCAGTGTTGATGATTCCACTATTAGAAACAGACTGGGCAAAAATGGTATCCATGGGAAAATTGCAAGGAGTAAACCACTTCTAACCAAGAGGAACATAAAGGCTTGTCTCACATTTGCCATGATGACCCCCTAAACCTTTTGGAATAATGTTCTGTGGACTGATGAGTCAAAAGAGGAACTTTTTGGAAGTTACATCTGGCGTAAAGCTAAAACAGCATTCCATAATAAGAGCATCATACCAACAGTCAAACATGGTGGTGGTAGTGTGATTGTGTGGGGATGCTTTGTTGCCTCAAGGCCTGAGCAACTTGCCATAATTGACAGAATTATGAATTCTGTTCTCTGCAGAAGAATGTCTGGTCATCAGTCTGTGATTTGAAACTCAGGCGCTACTGGGTTATGAAATAAGGCAACCAACTGAAGCACATTTTCTGTAGTTTCTGAAACATAATTCATTATTTGTTGAAAGCTTGACTAAGATGAAGATGAGGCTGAGGGCCGGTTAGCAGGCTAGCCATTTAGCATCCATGCTGCTTTTGCTTTTCTAACTTTTTCATGGTAAAAGCAAGAGAAAAAAAGTCAGGTTATTGTTAAAATAAACCCTGTGTCTGAGTGTAATTACCTAAAAAGTGAGCAAGAGATGGACTCTTTGTGTGTGCATGTCACTCTATCATCAGCTGACCCACCTCACAGCCCCACAGCATCGCAGAGCAACAGAAAAGCAAAAAACAGTGCCAATATTGCCACCTCACTTGTTTTAGCATGAACACGTTTTGCCTGCATAAGCAAACAAAATAACTCCTGAGTAATTATCCAAAAAGCAAAAGTGAGAGAGTAAAGTGAAGAGAAGGAAGGAGGTTATATGTCGACTTACATGTATGTCCAGCTTGGAGCAGAGGTGATGATGTGTTTTCGCTCAATGATTGGTCAGGGTTGAGGTGGGAGGGGCGCATGGTAAGATAGTGGTTGCTGTTGACTTAATGCGGCCCTGCACAGCACTGACCTGACGTGATGCATGCTGGACTTAAAACAGTGCAGGCTGGTTACAAATTATGTCCAACTTTCGGTGGCGCTGCAGAACTCAATGATGTCACATGACATTAATTTCTCATTGTAGCATGAAGGCTGCAGTTTCTGAAGTCAGGCACTGCGGTTGCTCTCCATCCACTGCACAAGCTACAACACGCCTCTGTGATATCAGAACATCACCATCATTGGCTGGAATCTCCAATGACAAACATGTGTGTCACATATGTTACGTTTTCATTTAAAGAACCTCAGATCTGTTATCTCCTATGGTTATTCCTCCCAAAGGGGTGCCATTTATTTGATTTCCTCTATGGAAGCTCATTTTTTACATATGGCCACCGTACACTATAGTTTTTTGTTTCCAGCAAAAAAGCTGTAAAAACAGTTTAGTTCCGGAATTTATTTTAAAAGAAATATTGCCTTTGTAGATCAATGATTTATTCTTTACATTTCTTCTTACCTTTCTGACTATATGGTTGCCTTTGTAATCTTGCAATTTTTTTACTTTATTAAAGTATATGGTTCTCAATAAAATGGAAAGAAAATTTAAAAATCTTTCCAAAAGTGTGGCTCTAACAGGTATTCCATGTGTGACATTTTCCTCCATACACCCTAACCCATCGCCCTAGATATTTTCATGTTTTCATGATTACGTTACTTAGATTTAATTTGATGTATGTCAAAACTAACACAACCATTATTGGTCAGTATAATTTTTTCCCAGCTGCTGGAACGTTGTGACACAACCAAACATCAGACAGCGATTATAGGTGGGCAAAAGTCACTACACTTCAAAGTGTCAAAGATAACACTTCAAAGATTACAGAAAAACAAGAATTTGATCTTTTTTGAATAATATGACACAATGAATTGTGTTTAAACTGATTTTGATTTCAGGTTGACTTTAAGTTTAGGGGCAGTTACTTTTTGGGTAATATAGATGTTGCAAAACTCTTTTCCTTCAATAAATAAAATGATATTTCATAAACTGTGTTTTGTGTTTCTTTGTGTTCTTGTCTTATATTCCATTTTGCGTGAGGATCTGAAACCATTTAGTGTGACAACAGTGCAAAAATAGAGGAAATAAGCACTGTGTGTATTTTCTAGTGCTTTCTCATTTAATTTGTATTTAGTTTGTATTTATTTTAGTGTTTAGACTAAAACATCAGAAAATGTGTGCAAAATTTCTTATCAGCTCCACTTACCATTTAGGAGCACTTTGTAGTTCTACATTTACAAACTGTAGTCCATACTTTGTTAGCCCCCATTGCTCTTTAATGGTCACAGAGCAGGTACTATTTGGGTGGTGGATCATTTTCAGCACTGCCATGATGCTCATGTGGTGGTGGTGTGTTAGTGTGTGTTGCACTAGTACGAGTGGATCAGATACAGCAGGGCTGCTGGAGTTTTTAAACACTGTCCACTCTATTAGACACACCTAGTTAGTTGGTCCACCTTGTAGATGTAAAGTCAGACATAGTAGCTTATCTGCTGCTGCACAGTTTGTGTTGGTCATCCTCTAGTACTTCATCAGTGGTGTTTAAAAACTCCAGCAGCACTGCTGTGTCTGATCCACTCAGACCAGCGCAGCACACACTAACACGCCACCACCACGTCAGTGTCACTGCAGTGCTGAGAATGATCCACCACCCAGATAATACCTGCTCTGTCGTGGTCCTGTGGGGGTCCTGACCACTGAAGAGCAGAGTAAAAAGGGGGTAACAAAGTATATAGAGAAACAGATGGACAGTCTGTAATTGTAGAACTACAAAGTGCATTTATACGGTAAATGGAGCTGATAAAATGGCCATTGAGTGTGAATACAATAAGGTGTACTTGTAGTGGTCAGTCTGTGTATGTTGTGGTTGTTAAATCTTGTTTTTATTTTAATTTTTAAGCATGACAATAATTGTGACTTGGGATTTTAGGATTTTAGTTTTTCTTTTTAGTTTTAGTTTTAGCTCCTGGAAAAGTTAGTTTGCTTTCATATTCTCTGTGTAAAATCAAGCTGATACATATCAAAGGGTTTTATGCTCATCTTTACCAGGGGTACTAGTTGTTTTTGGGGCACTCTAAGCAAGGTTGTGTAGGGCTCTGAGTTGGAGCTTAAGTGTGTCAAGGAAGGCCTGTAGTTCTGTGGAGTTATTACCGAGAGTTGCATGCTGATAGACAGCTGCTTGCTCTCTGATTACTGCACCAGCTCCAGAACTCTTTCAGGACAATTTCAGACTCTGCCATCTTACCCTCTGCATGCAAACTGTGGAAGGTCATGTTCAAATATGCTGCTGTTGCTATGAGAGCCAATCGTTCTGTGAGCTGAAGTGCCCATATTCTAGATTTTTCTTGAAAACAAAAAGCCCACTTATAACATTTGTATTTAATGTACCAAAACAGTCATAATTTCATTTTGTAAGCCTATTTCTTGATTTATAATCTCTTTTTATCCCTTTAAGACGTGTACACGTAAGTTACACCTGTTGTGATCAGGGACTGATCGTAGTCGCATGAGGCCCCTGGGCACAAGCAATTTTGGAAGCCCCTCACCCCGACATTCTGACGATTTTGCAAAAAATATCAAGACAAACTAGATCATCAATTAACAGCTTGTGTTTGCTTATGTGTGCTTTGAACTGCACTGGGGAAATGTAATGTAGACAAACAGAATTATTAATTTTCAATATGCTGTTCTTAAATAGTGATATTTCTGCACCTTTTGGTGTTTGGAGGATTTTAATTATTTGACATTTTTACAACACAAAATAGGTTATAAACAAACCACATGTACATGTGTGCATGTCTGTGGGGGGCTGAGGGGTTTGTTGTTTACTTTATATTTGCAGCACATAGCAAAATATGGACTGTGGGGCCTTTATTTCATTTATTTAGCCATTAAAAATTTATTGGTTATTCACTCATCTAATTTTTGCATCTACAGTGGATCGTACCCAGGCTTGGAGCTATCTCTGGCCTTAGGCTCCTAGCAGTCAGAGGCCCAAGTCCATAATCTAATCCTGGTTGCGATTGGATGCGCCTGGTTCAAAAGAGCACTTTGTACTGAAATTTGGAGCAAACTGTCAACTTCAGATCGAAATGCCCAGGGACATGGGCGGGAATAAACTTCAGCCACTTTCAGATGGCTGGTTTCTTTGAAAGGCTGAAAGTATATATTTACATCCAGACAGTCAGTAACAGCATGCTGTTTAACTGTTTTTCCCCACATCCTCATCTAGACTGCAGTTACATTCTACTTCACCTTGAATCAGCAGGCTGAACCACTGCATATGCTCATGCTTGTGACATCACAATTATAATTAGTTCAAAACAGGCTGTTTTTGCAGTTTAAGGATGTTTATGGATTGTATGGACTAAACAGTAAACAGAAAAGTTTGAAACATTGATAATGTTTACATAAATTCATCAGACTCACTTTCCATGATTATGGACAGTAGCCAGGATACAGTTACTTTTTACATCTTTAGGAGAATCCTTTTAAAATACTCACTAAAGTAAGCATACACTTCTAAAGAAATACCTTCAAAGGTTGTCTAACTATTTTAAATTCAGGGGCATTTATAGCAAACATACTTGTTAGCATACTCTAAAGAGGAACTCAGCAAATGGCTTCTTTACAAACACTGAAATTGGTGTTAAAGCCTAAGTAGACTGATGAATCAGTGTGATAAGTCAGGTATTTATCTCAGTGTTAAGCTCTTTTGAGGGGTGAATGGACATGTTAATGAGTGATTAGCTTAGCATTTTATCGCATTATGTTACACACACTGTGCAAAATAAAATTAACTGAAAATCACAGCTATCCACTATATGGTCAGATTTGCAAGATTTTGCTATTGAGATATGCAGAATTGTTTGCTTAATGAAACATTAAACAGAAGAATTACATGATATATATACACACACACATGCACACACACAATCTTTTGGGACACAACAGTTGTGCAGGAGATGGGACAGGGAACTGAACAGATGAATGGACACTAGGCTGGATGGGAGACTGGATAGATGGTGGACAGAGTGAATAAGTGGGTGAACAGAAGACTGGATGGGAGATAGGAACATTGATGGTGACCATAACAAACCAAAGACGGTGACCAGGGGTGTATTCCAGAAAGCGGGTTTAACAAACTCTAAACCTAAGCCGGAACTCAGAGTTGACTTATCTCGCCGTGTCATAGTCAAAGTTTCCGGTTCCACAACAGCTGATCAGAGTTAGTTTAGTCAATTCTGAGTAGATTGAACCCAGCTGAAGTGCGTTCACTGTTACCCGTAAATAGGCATTCGCAATGGAGTGGCGAAAAACCGATTCACTATGGGACGCCAATGATGGAAAAAAGAGAGCATCTTATTTCAGACCCATAGAGCAGGAAATATTACTGACTGCATATGCAGAAAATGAATACATATTTACACGTAAAAGTAATACTTCAGCAGCCACAAAAGAAAGGGAATTGGCATGGCAAGAAATTGCAGACCAAGTTAATGCGCGAGTTATTATTAAATAATATTTAAATAAAACTATGACATAATTTAACATTTAGCAAATAGATATGGCAAAAATAATTTTAATGTCAGTTGTAATAGTTGTCTTGATTTTTACATTTTTTTTTCTTTTTTCATTTACATAATATAGGTGTAATCCGAGTGGGGTGAAACGTACATGGCAGCAAATAAAGATGAAATATAAAAACATAGTGCAAAGTGGTATGACTTGTACATAACTACCTAATGTTCTTACTTGTAACCAGCTTGGTATGGCTTACAGTTGGTTATGGCTTTGTAGCTAATAGGAAAAAGGCAGAGGCACGGAAAACAGGAGGGGGACCACCACCACCACCGCCTTTCACCCAGGCAGAAGAGCTGGCGCCGTCACAGAACAGTGGCCGGCCTATAACTGATGGAATCCCTGGAGGAAGCTCAACAGAGCCAACAACCCCCCAGGACATGACTGTTTATGTTAAAGGTATGTTCATTACATTTATTCGTTATAGTGCATAAACTGTGGAGAACTGCATTTATCTGAACAATTTTAATTCCATCTCTCCAGTGATAGGCGGTGTGGTTCAAACAACCGAGCCTCCTGCAGTTGTAAGTGATCTTAAAGTCCCTAGATCTTACTTGAGGTGTACAAATACCTTTCTTTTAAACAAAAAAAAGAAACTGTCTCTGCTGTCTCAGAGTGGGATGATGCTCTTGGGAGGCCTATGGATGTACAGTATATGTTGCATATGTTGAATATATTGACCATGGCATTTCATGTGATCCACCATGATAATGTGTGACTGCCCTCTTACAGAACATGACAGGAGATGTACAGCCTAATGAGGGACCATCAACATCCAGAGCTCCGCTTGGAACAGTAAGATTAGTTTAATGTCTCACCAAATAGCTGAAATATTTAGAACGCAAAGATATTTATTTGACCATATCATGGTATTTTTCTCTCTTCCTCTCTGCTTCCAAGCTGCCTGTAAAGGATTTATACAAGATGCACCTCCAGAAGCAAATTGAGAAGTGTGATCTTAAGATGGAGCGCATAAAACTCCAAATAAAACAGACAAGCCTTGAAATTGAGTTGAATGTGAACTACAGCAAACGTTTCCCAGGCTTACCTTGTTCAAATTTATTGTATAGTGCAGACTCACGAAAAAATCCGTGCATCATGCACAGAGCCAGGCCATTTGGCTTCAAGATTTGTAATTATGTATGTAGCATCACATATGATCTTCATGGAAGATAACAGTAAGTTTATGTAACAAATTAAATGCTACACTTATTTAAATAAATTTAACAAAGTACATTTAAGATGGTCACTACCTGTATATTAATGCTGTGGAAGGATTTTTGTTTACCTAATCCCCTTCATTTTCTGCAGGTGCTTTAATTGGGATGTGGGTTCCATCCATGCAGCCAATGACTCTTGGAAATCCTGAAATATTAAAAGATGCAGAGCTATTTCCACTTCCCAATTATTTTATCCTTTTGTAATCTTTGTTAATAAATACAAACCTGCAATTCTGTGGAATTCCTCTTTGATGTTCATTACAGGCTTATGCCCAAGGAACACCACAAAACTGTACATCAAACGTTTTAATGCTAGGCATATTTTTCGGACGGACCGACATACAGTAGCCTTCCCTATGTGTTCAGCGTCTCCGACATTGTATAAAAAAGAACCATTTGCAAAAAAACGGAGAGCAATGCATAAAGTTTGCAAAGAAGTGAGTGCGGATCCACGATGTGTGATATTGGAAATGTATGGCTTTAGAATATTATTTAAGTATCTAATTGACTGTGAGAAAAAACGGTAATGTTCGCGGAGATACTCGTCGGGTAATGAAAGTATGTCCAATCTGGGTCTAATGACTCGTTCCCGACGAAGGGCTCGACGAATGATTTGCGCTTCAATATCAACTGAATCCTCGAGGAAAGGACACACCATGTTTGCTAGAGAAAAGTGCGTGTGAACCTGGGTTATGTTTAAGTTAACCTGCCAGCGAGCAGGTTAGCTTCAGAGTGTAAGCTGCTATAGTAACTGACACCGGTTTTCTTTAATCTCGGTTTCTGGAACAGAAAACCTCGAGTTTTCGTGAATTCTGAGTTAACTTACCCGGTTTTATCGCTTAACCGGCTTTCTGGAATACACCCCAGGACTACAACAGGGATAGTAACTGAGACAGGGACAGAGATGCTGACAGCGACAGGGACAAACAGGAGCAGAATCAGTTAGGTGAACAATGACTGGGACAGGCACAGAAGTGGAAAATAGACACAGGAAGGAGAACGAACAGGAAATGGGGCAAAGGTCTGACAGGCAGACCTGCAGGCCAAGCAGAGGCCTGAGGAGGACCTGCAGGCCAGGCAGAGGCCTGTGGGGAAGCCAGAAGCAAGTGAGGTCTTCATGGTGCTTTTGAAAATCTGATAACAGTGTATACAATTTTTCTACTGTCCTGACTCTTTTGACCTCTTTTCAATGATTAAATTAGCCCATTGCAGTGTCTTACCCCTCCAAAAGGTGTTAAACAGTACCATGACTATATCTGGTGGGGTCAGGCAGGCTAACTGCTGAAAACAAAGCCCGTTTTGCATTATAAATCCTTCTCACTTGACATTTACCCCATCAAATCTTACATGTGGTTACCATGAACAAAGTAAGCAAAAGAAGTTTTCCTGCCTGAACCACTGAGAGCAAGTCTTCAAGATCCTCCTTATCCTGTGAAAGAACACCACTCACTACATTCTTCTTAGGCTTGGCGTCATGTAACATAGAGGGAGACGAAGAGGCAGGATGCAAGCACAAGGTTTTATTGTAATCCATAATTAAGATCCACAAAGGCAACAAAGCAAAGACAACAAAGAAAGAACACTAGATTTAAATACTTAAACTGAAAGAAAACAAAAGACTAAGGAGCAAAATCACTATACAAGAGTGAAAACCCACAAAACAAAAACACCACGCCGACAACCAGGGATATAAATACACTCAGAACCAACAAGAAACACCTGGTAGTAATAACAAGAGGGCTGGGCTACACAGGAGAGACAGGTAAGGGGCATGGCAAACGGGTGGAGCGAGGGAGAAGCCGGAAAACAAAAACAGAAGCACATGGCAGAGACACGAGGGAGAACGTAAACAAAGAGGAAAAACAGACAACAACAAGGGCAAAGCAGGGCAACATCACAATATATCATCACTGTCGGAACAAAACCTTGTCTCTTGTATCTCTTGTATCTTGTAGCAGTATGTTTACAGGAGGAGGAAAAACATTCTTAACTTAATGGAAGTTACTATAACAAAAGTTTTTTTCCAATTAATTTTGGGCCATTTCTATTGCTCCATTCATCATGAAATCTTTTATCATTATGAAGTTCACCTGACTGTTCACCCTGTCCAGTCCTCCGTCCAGTGTTCTGTCTGGTCCTCCATCCACCATCAATTCACTCTTATATATATATATAAATCTTGTATCTCCAAAACTTTACAGGAGAAGGAAAAAAGCTACTTTACTATTAATGTAAGTCAATGGAACCAGTCATTCTGGGCCACTTCTTTTATATTGGGCCATTCTTATATTCTTATTCTTCTTTTGGTCCATTCTTCATGAAATTTACACACAATGTAAAAGACAACAGGCATTTTCAAATTGAAAAACAACAAAAAGATTTAAAGAAAAGAATTTTAGATTACACTGTATGTTGGACAAATGGTTGTTTCAAGGCTGGTGGTTCTACAACAAAACAACTTGCATTCTTTACCCCAGGAACAACTTTCAGTACAGACTATTTTTGATTCAAGCATATCTGATTTTGACACAGTAAACACAGATACTTTATTTGAATTTTCTTTGTGTAAAATTTGTGGACCTGTTTGGCTGGATAAATTACAGTTTGCCTCACTTGAAGGTCAGCACCGCACCCCCCTACAAAGAGTTTACATTAGCATTACATTATTGTTTTGAAGGTGATCAGATCATCCCCTGCATGCATTTTGTCACAGTGCATAAGCAACTGTTAGGAAGTGTAAGCTCAGTGAGAAGCTGCAGAGGAGCGGTGAATTTATCAAAATAAAGGCCATGTATGAGTATGAATGATGGCAAACTACTATAATAAGGCTGCGGATAAAAACAGCAAGCATATCATTTCATCCTAAATTGCACCGTGTGTGTCACTGTAGTCTATGTGCTAATAACTATAAGAGAAAAGGCTGTATTTAGAGCTAAGCTGAGCTTAGATTTATTAATCCCACATGCAAACTTCAGAGCTGTTTTTGCTTTTACTGATGCTTAGTTTCCACTGCAATGACATGGCTCAGCACAGCTGCTTAATCACAGTGCTAGTCAATAACATTTCCTTATTGGCCTTAGCGTATCAGGCACTTGCGGTGCTTGGCCGCCCCAATTGCATATTTTGAATGGCTCAAGCACATTTGCACCCTACTTAGGGAGCTTAATGTGGAGGCACGCCTTCTGATGAGAAGGATGAGAGAATCTGAGCTGATGTTTATGTGATTTATAAAGGTATAGCCACAGCTAATGAAAAAGGACTGGTAGGTTATTCTTTTTGTGTTAAAATGTCTGTAGTTGTAGGTTTTCTTTTTCTTATATAAGCTTACTACTAACCTCACATTTAGACCATTTGGGCATTAAAAATAATGTTTTAATTACTGCAGTATATTTGTATTTTATTGCATTTGTTGTCCATATTACATTCAAGCTAATACATTAATCAAATGCATTGGTGTAATTTCTAGAAGGGATGTGGGGTTACAATCACTCAAATAATTATAACTTGGCTATGCAACCCCCATAACCCCCTTCCTTCCACATTACAGACCTGACTGTTAGTGATATATTTTTCTTCACTTGTCCCATTAAAAGAGTAATCAGAAGAGACTTATCAATATCATAGCTTATCTATATAACTTTGGTCCACTTGCTTATAACATGATACCTTTTGCAGGTATTAAACCATTAGTGAGCAAAGGTAACGTAAAGTCTGCATTTATGTTCAAATGTCAATTTGTGTTCTTTTGGTAGCCATCAGAAAAAAAGGAGGGAGACGCAAGAGGCTGAGGCTTCACAGACATGGAGTAAGAACAGCTATGTTATAAGCAATAAGTCTTTTTTAATAAAGTGGTCTTTTTATTAATTGTGTTCTGTTAACTTGTATTATGTGATGTTCACATACATGGAGAGCTCCATTGCTTTTAAATAAATGTGATTAAGATAAAAAATGTATTTCTCTAAAAGTTTAATAGCTATTGGGATTTCTTTGCCATGGCTGCATGTCCCCCAAACCTCCCCAAATAAAGCCCCTTCAGTTACATCACTCCCATAACTACGAAACATACATGTTAGTTTAGGTACTTAATAGTTCATATTAGTTTCTGAATAATCAAGCAGTCAAAGAATTAAGGATTGAAAAACAAGCATAGAGTTTCGGGGTTAAATACATTTAAACATAAACCTCTTGTTGAAGCGCTGCGTGCTGCACTGAGCAGCCGCCACTAGGGGGAGCCGTTCTTTTAAAATAATCTTTGCCTGCACACCTGCCATGGAAATTCATCCTGATAGGTTTTATTGATGAATAATTTATAAAAACAGCAGGGCCATACTTATTGTTAGAGTGTGTGAAAGGATCCTTTGATGCTCTAAGACCAGTCAGTTCAAATTTAAGTCAAAACGTAGCTGATGTGTTCACTATGACATTATTTATATTTTTCTTGTACATAGATTTTATGAACATTTAGCAACAGTGGGTGCAGAGGTGCGTGTGCACCATCCTCACAGTCAGAATTACTACTTCACCTGAGGTGTAGAAGATTTAAGCTGATATGCATGCAAAGAGAACATTATGTGCAATGTAGCGGACAGCTGGATACTCCTGTAGCTGTAATGGAGTTCTCTGGTGGGGTCATGGTGCATTTACAATATGCATCCAATTCAACAGGTTAAACTATAGAACAAATGTAGCTGAGAGACTTCTAGGCATTTTTACATTCACCTATATTAGCTGTGTTTGATATCGTGCAGGGTGATTTCAACAGGAAAAACTGAACCGTTCCTGTTTTTTGTGGGGGTTTGGTGTTCTGTGTGCTGGTCACGTCCGTCTAAAAGAGAGCGGCCCTCACCAGGCCAATGCTGCATGAATGCAGATGACATAAAGAGAAAACAGGTTGTGAAAAAAGTGCAGGCTCTGAATATTCATCTGGTGAGTGAACTGTACTGTGTTAAATAATTCATATGACATGGCCTGGGGCGTTGCACTGTGGGGGGGCGGGGCATGTATACCTTGCATTAAAGGAAATAGGTGCTGTTGAAGACCCCATTAATGTGCTAAAACAGCTGACAGAAGCAACAGACACATTTGTGCTTCTAGTGGTCATTAAAGTCCTCTGGACAAAGAAATCTTATTTACCTGTCGATGTATGAATGGACTACATAAAGTGTAATTTGTCAGAATTGACCTGTCCAGGCTCTGCCCACAAACGTGTTCTTTTGTAGCTCTTTTGTAAGCTGACTAAGCTTCAAGAAAACTTGAAATGCAAAAGTTAGTCTTATTAAATTCAGATATGTACAGTCATATGCAAAAGTTTGAAAAACTCCAGTCAAATTACATGTTTTGCTGATTGCTTGTCAGAATAAGTTAACACACCCTTAAATATGACATTTTTCTGCCAATTTTAGAGCACACTTTCTTTTTTATTTGCTTAACATATTGACAAAAAATGAAACATAAAATTTTTGCACAGGTCATATTTTATGTTTTGTTTCCCAATGTGTTAAATTCAGTAAATAAACAGTAATTGTGCATTAAAATTAAAATTAAAATAAAGTGTGTTCTCTGTGGAGGATATGCTTATTTTCACTTAGAAAATCAATAACGTGTAATTTGTCAGTGTGTGAAAGGGCACAGTGATAGGATTGATTAGGTGTAGGTTTT